AATGCTTCCCGACCCGACACACTACCGCAACGCCTACCTTGAGTTACCTCATCTTTTAGGCACATGCACGTCTACAATACCTCCTGATTCATCCCTCCATATAACTCAAAACCCGATTAACACTAACAAATCTCTTCAGCTTCAGTTGTTCCTTTGACCCTAAATTTGTATGGTTAAATTATGTGCCCACAACCAACGAACTAATTTTAGGTTCACTATCGAATATACCTATCGCCTATCCCCCTCTCCCTTCATTAACATCGAATGAAAATGGGAAGGAAGTTGAACATTGTTTTTGTAGTAGCGGCGTCAGCAGCGATGACATCAGTAACAGGCTCAAATGGTGGTATAACAGGGGTGCGGCAGCACAAGGCGTCAGCATGAGCAGCAAAATGATGCAATGAGACAAAGAAAAGGCCGAGTCTATGAGTAACCGACTCGAATCAGGTGATAGAGCAAGTAGCTGTGCAGTATACACATTTAAGCATTCACACATAGACACACACAGAGATTAAGAATTGAAGAAAGGTGTCAAATAGGAGAACTAGTGAGAGTTATCGATCAAACAAAGGAGAGATGAAGAATCAGAAATGAGTCAATAGTCTTGTGCCGGTGTGATCAGGATCACAAAAAGATGGGGATGAGAAAAAAGAACGGGAAATCAAACCGCAATTTCAAAATCGACGGCAATGGCCTAATTGGCAGGGCGATGAGCAGCATTGGGCATAATGGGTGGTAGGGTGTCTACGTAATTGGCAGGAAAAAGTCCAGTGGAGCCAGTGCTGGAGATTCGACCGCGCCACCAATTTTCGTCCTCCTGACCCAACACTTCGATCACATCGCCCCGATGGAATGACAACTCTTCCGGCTCAGATGCGTTGAAATCAAAGCGCGCGATCACCCGCTGCACCATCTGAGACTGCTGGTCTCCGCGGCCCGTGTTCATCATCTTCAAGTAGAAACGCAAACAAATGCATACAATGTACAAATGACATCTACACCGGTTACGTGAAACGGTCTCAAAATTCATACGTTAGCCTCACAGGTAACACCAGCATTAAACAAATTTAAAAAATAAATAAACATCAAAAGAATCAAAAAGTAGGGGATAAGAGAAATGGTGAGATTGTTTGACACCACAAACAACACACTCCTC